TCCCGGTTGCAAAATGATTAAACTTCTATATAACTTTTGATGATTTGTTCCCGCCAGTACCGCATTCTCGCAAAAACTAGTAGTAGAATGACGACGGCTTCCACGTTTTCCCGCCAAAATGACGTTGTTCTGAAAAAAGGGACCTTAAGATCCGACGACGGCGACGGCAACGGGAACGCTACAATAACAATAGGTTTAATTAGCAAAACAACAATTTTGCACGTGCATCACGCTTTTTGTACATTTCTTTGCCGTCATTGTACGACTACGACGTGAAAATGCCTAATGTCACGATGTACAGAGGAAGTACACAAGCGACGACGAGATTTTCTCTCTCTTTCTGAACTTGGATATAGTTCTTAGGAATTCAACTTTAGGAGGGTTCGCCTACATTTGACAAAGTTAGTGACTTGGAGTAATCGCGATAAAGATTGAAAGAACGCGAATTCACTTTTTCAGCGACGTTTTCACTGCCGTCGCCGTCCTCGGATCTTAAGGTCCCTAATCTCGTACTCGTAGTCGTCCTAGTCTCAGAATCTAAAGCTCTCTATTATCATATGCTCTGCTTTTCCATTACTCAGCCAATATCAATAATAGTTATACGCCTTTGGCGCGTATGCAAATTTCATTTATTTATATTAAAGTAGGTTGCTCATACAACTCCAAACATAACCTACGTGGCAGGCGTTTGAAAGGAAAGGGAAAGGGAGTTTCTCTCGCACATAAAATTCCCTTTCCCTACATATACTACACTACACGCAGGCTACACTAAACACTGAGGAATCTATTTTTTTAGTGTGAAATATTGCGGCTCACTCGGGTTTAAGCGAGAATAGACCTTGTCACGGTTTTCGACGCCATCAGTGCCATCTTCACGAGTGGCCAAACGCGTGAGAAATTACAGTGTTTGTATGAGAATCTAATGTCGAATAATTTTCGTAAAACGGCTCTTCTCGAAAAAATATGATTTGTAAACTAAGGCTTCGCTCCTAAGGATTCTACTGAAAAAATTAAGGGCGTTACATGCGCTAGAAGACCTAGAACCACTTTTTTTAAATTTTCTATATATTTGTCTGTAAGAAAGTTCCGGGAAAATTACATACAAATATATGGAAAATCTAAAGCAAGCCTCTGCAGAAATTTAAGCACAGGTACGCTCCCATGCAAAATTGTTTAGGACAATCCTTTGCTTTGTAGCTTTAGTTTACAATTGATTTTTCTTTTCAGAAAAGCCGTTTTACGGAAATTATTCGACATTAGGTTTTCATACAAACACTGTCTCACGTTTGCCTACTCGTCAAGATGGCGTCGAAAACCGTAACAAGGTCTATTAACTTATTAGCTCATTATTGATACAGAGCCTGGAAGTGGGTGTCTGGATCTCGAATCACAGGTTAAGTGTAATGCCGAGACAACTTTTCCGCAAAACACAGAATTTGCAGAAATTAATATTTACAGTCAGGTCTTGGACTAAATTTCCACTTAACAACCGTAAAGCTACCACCTCATTGAGATCCTCAAATAATCAAGATTTCGTCTTTAGAAAATCCGTCAATCTGCTCCATCACTAGTCTGCTGGAAATTAGAGGAAGAACAATTCCAACACCAAAACACATAGCAAATAAATATAACACTTTCTTAAAGAAAATAACTGCTTCCAAATGTTCCTCTTGAACGTTTCGTACATATCCAGTCGCGGGCAAACTCAAAGTGAAAATCACGAGAACCAAGAAACAAGTGGTGACGAATGCACTGGTATTGTCAGCGTTCAATAACTCCACTATATGACCAGAGGATTGCCTGATTTCGAATCTTGTGTTGGCATGTTCCGCAGCTCCACAAATTCTCCAAACAATCGCAACCATGATAAGAAGAAGCAGCGAGCAGGTCATGGTGGAAGCTATTTGAGAATTACACAGAGACGGTTCCAAAATTAAAAAGCCAGTCCACAATAGAACTGTACTTATGCCAGCTACCAGAGTTCCAAACATGGCTGTTTGAGCAGATGGTGCTTGTTTAAGACAGAATACTGAGGGATATTCGACGGCTATCATTGCCATTATGTTGTAAACCAAAAAGAAAGCTACGGAAGTGATAAGGACTCCGTTTATATCACTCCGTTCCAGTTGTTGTTTGTTGCTAAATGTCTTCATGGTATCGTCTGCGTTCAGAGCCAAAAGCGTGAGATGAAGGATGGATTGGAAGATAACCAATGCATTGCTGTTTTGGAAATTATCTTGGTAGGTAAAGCAGCTCAATAATAATCGTATGTTTGAAATAATACCAAGAATATGCAAGGCCATCAAAAGCAAATAGACTGTCCCCATGTTTTCAGTTTTCAATTTCAAAGCAGTATGGCACTGTTGACACTTCAAGAAAGTCTCGCACTGGTATTAATGCTTTTTATTGTGAAGTTATATTCAGCACGCTTAAAAAATACAATCCAATATATATTCCAGTGAGAGACTCGAATGCAAGCACTTGATATTGCAGATGAATACAATATGGAACTTGTGTAAGAAGAAATGCCACTTCGACTGTGCACGAAATTCTACTTTTGAAGGATTACAAACTAACGCTACAAACTATTCACTGGCCAGAGGGTATTTCCAAGTATCTTTCAGAGCTCGATTCATTTGGAAACATAAAATGAGCAAGTGCCTTTTTTATGAGTTTGTAATTGAGTAAAAGTCGTTTGGTGAGTAAGCTAGAGTATTTTATAAAGGTACTTGAAAAAATAAGCCAATACTTGACTCTAGCTCGTGTATGTGCGCGACAGTAAACAGGAATTAAACATTTAGCTTTCAAGATTTATCAAAAACTGTCGGTTTGCATGGTTTTCATTTTTTTTGTTGTTTTCACAACTGAAACTGCACTGAATGTTGCATCAAGATTTGAGAGTTTTAAAATCAACTGACTAAACAACCTATGCAATTTGTTTGGTCTTCTTTGGACTCTTTTGGCCTATATAGATCGAACGCGTTTACATTGTTTCAAGCCGGATCCTTCGAAGCATCACAATGCTCTCGGTTTATCTATAGCTGACTCACTCGCAATTTAGCTTTGAAAAATTCTTTCTGATCCTTTCTGATCCTTTCTGATTCCATGCCTGAATTGTTCATTCGTTTAGGTGTCAGCAGGGGCAAATTTTTAATTTCAATTGAGTTAAGCTTCCCTTGTATCCCTTTCCCCGAATTCTTCAATCATTTTCGTGTCAGTAATGGCAATGCCCACCCTGTAAATAATAACCACTCTTGTATAACATCACCAACTGATTTCAGCGCAACTAGTGTATCCAAATAATCTTTTATAATTAACTGTTCATTGTGTCGGAAGAGGAAACAAGACGAAACCCTACCTTTTTCTACGGCAGGATTAGATCTGTCGGTAGAGCTCTTGACTGCAGAGCGGGAGGTTACGTGCGCGTTTCCCGGGACCGAACCAATAGCCCCAATTCGAAAATTCTAACATGACTCCGAGGATTTTGGTTTGGTTTTCATTGTGCTCAATTAGTCTCTTCTGGGAATTGCGAGACAATGGGGTCGTGAAAGATTTTGCATTTTTGTCCCTAAAGCATCGGAGCCATGTAAGAATTTTAACTTATCAAAAGTGGGCTATTCTCCAGGTCCTGAAATAACTGAGCCGATGAAAATTTAGCCGTTGCCCCGCTAATGGCTAAAAACCTTTGCGTGGCTTGGATGACCACGTAAATTGGGCCGCGTTATTCATATTTGGTCTATTAATCTACATGCTGTCTTAATAACCCACGCATGATCATAATTCATTTACAAGGGAAAAAGGGCTTAGAACAGCGTGAGACTTTTGGCGAGGAAACCGCTAATCTCGAGCGAACACCTAATCTTGTACCCAGATCTCTTGTTGAAGAAGCCGAAGGCGAGATCTGGTCAAGTAACAAAATATATATTTTTTTTGTTGGCTAGATTGTAAGCGAATGACGTAAATGTTGACTCCTGAGCGCGCTAAGGCGTGTGTAATTCATCTTCAGGTCTGTTCAAATAAATATTTTTACTGAAGTACTTTTCTGTCTCAATATAACTTGTAAAACCTTTTTTATCTTATCTTCACGGCTCTATCCAATTCGTCGTTTAAGACGTCGAAAAACGGTCGTCGTTTTGAGGAAGTATTTCAAGCATGCGCTATTTTAACGTCTCTCACATTCCTGACAGCCAATTACGTGTACCAATCGGATTCGGACCAGATGTGGGTATGACATAAGCGAACGCCGAAAACGCGATAAAATCGAGCTCACATTCTCCGCACGGCTTCGCAGCTCCCCTGCCAAAACTTTTGCCTTTACCGACGATCGCGCTGGCTACGCAGTCTTAAAACCGAAAGGGAATGACAGAACTAGAACACACTTGATTTAAAAATAACATTTTTTAATGGAGACACAATTCAAACTGATTATACATGTACTTATACTAATGAAAAATGCCTTTCATATATATTGGCAGTATTCTTCGGCCTAACAACTTTTCATCGTAAAGTAAACTGCACATTCGTCTACGAAAATTGCAAGAATCTTCCCACTCAGTTTTGGTTAAAAGAAACGAAGGGTGTTATACAAATACTAAAACAGTGTTAGGTCATGTTAGCTTAACTATAGGGACCTTAAGATCTGAGGACGACGACGGCAGCGAAAACGTCGCTTGAAAAGTGAATGGGCGTTTTTTTAATCTTCATCGCCATTGCTCCAACTCACTTACATTGTCAAATGCTGGATTAATTTTCTGTTAACAGTATCCTAGTTCTGAAAGATCATTTTGTCGCCGATTTTTCACGTCGTAGACGTGCAGTGACAGCAGAGAAATGTACAAAAATGCTTGATGCACTTACAAAGTTGTTGTTTTGTTCATAAACCCACTGATTCTTTTACCTACTTTTTGCCCGTCGCCGTGGTCAAATTTTAAGGTCCTTAGCTTACTATTACCTGATTAATACAAAAAATATGATCTAACACAAACTGGAAAGACAGCATCTTAAGGAGCATTTTCCTTTAAGCGGCGCTTCTGATCACGACGCTTCTGGTGGCTATGGTTCCTCATCTGATGTTTAGCCCTCTTCTTCATGAGTTTCATCATTCGTTTTGTGATCTCTGCCTCTGGTAGATCTCTATCTACCAACATTTCACGACTCATTTTTCCCTTCCTGATCATTCTGACGTCATTGGGATGCATATCAAACTTGTTGCCATGGTGACGCTTGTGGAAGTTCTCCATTTGGTCCAGGTCAAGCTTAGCTTGGTTGTGCTTGAATTCGCGTTTCTTGTGATGATTTTTGAAGTCTCGTTTATCTTCATGTGAAGGTTTCTGAGCCTTTTGAGCCTTTGCATCGTTGCTAATGACCGGACCTGCCTTGGCGTCCTCCTTCTGCAAGGACGATATATTAAATGTTACTCAAAATATCACAATGCGAGTTTTTGGGATCATTATAGTTAAGAGATGATGTATTGTTACCGAAGCCTTGTCCCAGTACATTTATCGGAATCCCGGATTTGGCTTATTTGAAGGCCTGGATTAGGGATTCTAAAGAAAAATTGGAACGAGATTCTCGGTTGAAAGGTAGTTTACGAGATGCAGGATGTCGAAAATAACAACTGAAATTGAAGGGGCTGAGTGAAAACTGAATTTGGGTTGGGATGACGGAATGAATTAAGAAACTCTGTGTTGGGTACTATCTAAACTTTGAATAAGATTTCTTTTTTTTGGAAAAGCAGTTCTTATCAACAATAATTCCTTGTTGACCCTTATGTTACTGACTTATTGATTTGCTTGGCAATAAACGCAAGCATTAATACAAAAGGCTCCCGCCGGCAGTCACTGAAAAAACTGGACCGATTTACAAAGACAGTAAAATGTCTATAAATTGTACATTCATAGACAAATTTTCTCCTCCTTCTAGTTCAGATCAGAAAGCGCCAATAACCGTCGCTGTCACGATTTATTAACTCTAATTAATTGAATATAGCAATTCGTATAAAAGACGCTGAGTGAGTTTAAAGGCAGTCTCTACTGAGAAGCTGATGATCCTTTTGCTTCTAAATGCTTTTAGTGTGGAAGCGCTCATTACTTCTTTTCCATTCAGTGTAATATATAATAAAAGGTTTTCAACTAAATTTAAAAAGAAATAACAAAAACTTGACAAAGGGCGGAGATTACTAAAAAAAAACATAAAAAACCGATCAGCAAATCTAATCATAACCCTTGGTGTGACACACAAACCAGAATAATTTATGTAAAATCACAGAAAGCGTCCGCCAATCGGAACATTTTTGTTGCGTAATATAATAAAACTATTATCTACTAAGAGCCTAGGCGTAACTGCCATACACCCCTTCAAACTGGTTTTGTAAAGTCTCTTATTTGATTTAATGTCGATGCGTTGAGCAGTTTATAGGACGCTATTGATACCCGGTTACATGCTGGCCGTTACGAGTACAAAAAGAGAAGCTGCAAACAATCTTCATTAAAATGCAAAATGTAATATTGTCGTCTAGTGAGGTTGATATTTTTAGGTTTCGTGGTGGTATACAATACAAAAGTGTTTAACATACCAAGATTTCATGATATCATCATTTTCTATTTTCTAACAGAACAAATATTCCGCGCTATGACTGCTGTATATATCACATGATATCAGCTATCAAAAACCGTTTTTTTTTAATATATGATACACTGTATACCCGATCTAGTATTTAGATCTAGAACACTAAATAAGTGGACATGACTCGAACAGGATAATGATCGATTTGAAGTGGCCATGAGTTTCAATATTACTTTATGACTTTCGTCTCACTTTCTTCAATGGCGTCGAATTAACATTTAGGATTATATGATCTCTTGGGGATGCAAATATAAGCTACTCCGTTTGCTTTTGTTAGTTCATCGATCTTTCACTAATTAGTTTACACGTAGGAGCTACTTTCAAGACAAACTTATGATGAATGCCTCTTTACCTTGATGTGCTTTGTTTTTTTGAGAAGCTTTGCAACCATTTTGAGTATGTTTGAACTTTAAATATGAATTCTCTTTCATTTAGAAGAAATTCTGTTGATTAGTGAACCTCAACTAATCATAATACAGTCAGCACAAAGCAAAAACGCACGGTACTTCATTAATATCTACTTCCAAACTGGTCTTTTCTGTTTAGATTTCAGTTACCAACTATCCGAGAGATGAACCTTTCTAGTTTTATACTAAGGTTTATGTTTATAAGTTATAAGCATCTCGAAAACCGTATCAGTTATTTTTATTCTTAGAGTATCAATACTTTGTATAAACATTTGAGGGGAGCGCATATTTGCATGTTATTTGGTAAAGTCGTACAAAGCCGCAGCAGAATCTGCGTCCGTCTTCACGAACTAATAAAAACCGCAACACCGTGCTTTTCGTCAATGCTATCATCTCTAACGATTTCATAACCTGTGTTGCACCAAAAAGCCGCAAAACTGCAACAGCATTAGAAAAATAGTAAAGATTGAGTTGGCGGCCTTAATAAGCGTTTCGTATAAATTAAACTGGGCTTCCAGACTCAGTCGAAGCGACGGATTCCTTCAAGCGTACTAAGCGGAAAAAACAAATGCGAATCTACTGTTACTTTAGCGAAACCCTTTGAATCATCGCAAACTGTTGCAGAGCAATTGAAAGCTCCATAATGGCTTGGATCTTGTGTGTAGTCGCATGAGAAGAAATCAAATGCGCTCGAGTCAGTTGTGCCGAGTTATGTCAAACAACACTGAGACATTGAAAACTCAAGTTCTCCAGTTCGACGTATTTCGGAAATACTTCCCTACCTTAAGTTTGAATTTCAAAGTTGTTATGCGCAGTTTAAAAGTCTCTTCAACCAGAAACATTCCAGCGGTTTAATACAACTGATTCGTGAAGTTTTTTTTACATTATTCCCTACCTTATTAGCAACAGCGTCATTACTGGGTTCAACAACATTTGGTTTTTCCTTCATTCTGTTCCTAGGGAACTCTCTTCGCTTCTCCAAATGCTGGAGACGATCCTTCCCTCTCTTGTTCTTTCTTCCATCTACGACTGCGACTGAAATGCAGACAAGAACCACCAAAGCGACGGCCAGGAGCTTCATCATGAATTATTTTTCCCCGCAGAGCTTGACAAAGAACTCAACCTTTTAAAATGTACGATGTTCAAGGGATAATTTATTCGCACTTATGACGCAGGTGTAGTAGAAAATGAATGTCCCTGCCTCGTTACGTCATATCCTCAATTAGGCTGTTGTCCTTTTGAGGCCACCGCCGAATTTTTAATTAGAAACGAAACAAAGGAAGCTTAGGCCCAGTTCAGTCGTGCCTCTGCCGTGCCGAACTTAATTGTAATTTGGTTCGACTATAGCACGGTAGGAAAACAACTTTGATTCAGACGTCGTGCCAGAGTCGAACCAAATTCAGGATTTACTGATGCCTCGTAACAATTCTTCTCCCAACTCCCCGTGGGAACGCAATCTCGCCAAAATACATTAATATAATTTATGAATTTTTTTCAGCGCGGCGGAAGCACGACGTTTGAATCGCTGTCGTGCCAGAGTCGTGTAGCACGGCAGCGCTTGTCGAACTTAATTGCTTGCCGAACTTAATTCAAAAGTTTGATTCAGACGCCGTGCTTTTGTCGAACTTATATTAATTCCTGAATTTAGTTCGGTACGGCAGAAGCACGAAGTCTGAACTGGGCCTCAGCTTCTAGCTAGCTATTTAAAAACAAACTTTTGTCTACAAACCAAATCTCAACGTAAGTATAAAACAGAAAGGAGTTCTGCAAGAGCAACTCTGTCAATACTTGGCCTGAGTTTTAATGATTACACTCTAAATATAATCTAGCCCCAAAAATGAAGCCGTTTCTGTGACCAAACTAAAGGCTGTTTTTACATCGAGTCTAATTTAGTTCTCTTAATCCGGACGAATACATTTCATATAAAATTAATTACCTAGGGCTGATTTGGACCAATGGGCTGAAATGAGTCTCAAAGTGTGCTGGGATAGGCAAATGCGCAGGGCTGAATTGGATCAGTTAGGGCTGAAAAAGATTTTCTCATTTCCGTGACATTGCTTAGCCTGTTCCAGGCGTACAGATCGTGGGGACGGCGCTAAGAAATGTGAGCAGGAAAAACATCTGACTGACTTCGTGCCGCACTCAACTATAAGGAAACTCCAGTTTGGACTAAGAGGCTCCAGCAAGTAATGGAATGTGAATTTTGCTGAATGCCATAGCTGCGCCGGGCAGGCGATGTGTGAGCTATCAATGAAAAGAACTCGAGGCTCGCGACTTAAGGTGGCTCGATACAGTTTTTCAGGGTCAATACCTCCCAAGTTTGAGCATAAACTACGTCATTGCAATGTTATTGCGCCGATGTCATTGCAACCCTGATCATAACAAATTTTCATCTTTGTCTAATACAACTGTGGTGGCAATTTTTCCAAAACATTGTTTATGACGACGTAGTTTATTCTCAAACTTGGGAGGTATTCACCCTGAAAAATTGTATCGAGCCACCTTAAAAAGGTCGGCCACGTTTCATTTGCTAATACAGTCATGTCATTTACGCGACCTTTTTTGCAAATTACTTATGAATGGCATAATTACTGCTTTGTGTGGAATTACTTTGTCTTGGTTATTGACCATTTTGAATTTGTTAAGACTATTTTTAAAAGCAACAGCAAGTGCCCGTATGTAGTTCTAGTGTTGTTCATACGAAAGCATGGGGGATTACTAGAACACTTTCCCTTTAATTGCTACCTTTTCTTTGCTGCGCATGCTCGGCAGCGATATTGGAAGTTGGCTTGGAAGTCTGCCCATTTTCATTTCCGAAGGTCCCAGACCGTAGTTTATTAATTTCTCTCGTGTAAATTATTGATGTCATTGTTTCTTAAAGTTCATTAGGATTGATAAATACGCCATTTTCAAGTTCCAAAACCCACATTTTCGAAATGATTTGAGGCGCGTTTTTTGATGTTGTTTCCCTGTGTAATGCAAAGTAATGCTGGTTACTGTGTGCAACCTCAATTCACAAAGTGCTCTCGCATCACAAAACAAAGCGCAATAAAAAAAGAACTTAAAACAACAGATTAAAACAAAGAGAAAACCTACGGAACAGCGTCCTAAGTTCGACGTCTGACCCAATAGACGATCTTCACTTAATTTAGGTCGACCCAAATTATATAGAGTTTGGTTCGTCTCATGAAAAGTTCGACGTTGGACCTAGGCCTATGTAATATTATACAAGTTGACTTAAAGCCATAAAGAGTTCAGGGGATTGAGTTTGTTAGTTAATCGTTTGAAATTGTCAATAACCGGTCTTCCACAATTCACTCCCAAGTTTGTTCCAGAGTGTTACGCTCACTATAGAATGGACTTTCTTTTACCATATGGTCCTGAAAGAAGTACAAAGAAAAAGGAAAAGGACATAAGGGAGAAATTATGGTTGTCGTAGTCAAATAGCGCGGAAAAGGCCACATTAACACGAGAAACAAGGTGTTATAAAGCGAAACTAGAATTCAGTGAAGAGGTACGTTTTTGGTTAAATCGCAACAATTTTAGAAGTAGGTTAAGGCCCTCTCCTGGTCTCAAAATGACAAACCTTCTAACCTCTGATAAGTTGTTTCCGTCAGAACGACAATTGAGCTAAAACCCGTTGTAGAGTGACGACGGCTATCCCGTTTTCCCGCCTGACGCTGGATCACGCGCGCGAAGCGCGCACTTTATTTAGTATTAGGCTGATTTAGCAACAGAACGGGAACTAAACGTCAGTTGACGACGGCGCACGCAAATTAAACAACTGGCTTGACCAATGGCAGAGCGACAAGTCGTGTTGAGTCCTTTCCGCGCGCTTTCCTGTCGTCAACTGACGTTCCCATCCTGTTGCTAAATCAGCCTATTGAGGAAATATCGTCTTCGTAGTCATCCTTCGTAGTCTGAGAATCTAAGAGTCTCAATTAGGCAGATTTTTCAAAGAGAACCCAGCGGCAAATGAGATCAGATTAGAGCGCGCCTAAAGGACTGGACGCGACTTCTGGTGCTAAAATTGGCGTTATGTCGTTGGTCAATTCGATTTCCTGTTTTAATACATTGTTCTCAAAAAAGCAGCAGGTTTTTAATCTGAGAGTAGACTACGAGTAGTCCCCCATTTTTCCTCAGAGATAGTAAAGCGTGCGAAACGCGAGCGCGCGTGAAAATCACTACACGCGAGAAAAGGCGACACGCGGCGGGGAGAGAGAAAAATCATTTTTCTCTCTCCCCGCCGCATGTCGCCTTTTCTCGCGTGGGGTGATTTTCACGCGCGCTCGCGTTTCGCACGCTCTACATGATCCCATGGGGGACTACTAGTGGTCTAATGTGAGAGGAGATTGCAGTTTGCTTAAGGCAAGCGCGGACTCATGGGAAGGGGCTAGGAAAAATAGCGTCCCTTTTTCCCTTTCCTTTTTCCTAGTTCCTTCCCATGAATCTCCCCGCGCCTTAACCTAACGCCATTTTTCTCTCACCCCAAAAACCCACGAGGCTGGTACGAGGCTGGTAGGTATAGGCCCTGGCTACACTAACGCGTTTTCAAAAGTGTGCGTTTTCGTTGTCATCGTCCTCGCTCGGGGTTTTTGTGTTACCAGCGTTGGTCTACTCTTACTTTCAACGTAACATTGAACAAGATGAAATAAGCAAAGCCTTGTTAATCAAGCAAGAAACTGAACGAATTTAATGATTTTGCTCCTTTTTGCTTATTCCTAGCATTTTGGAGTAATTCTCATAGGGGGCATCTATTAGACAGGGGGTGTTAACTATTAGAGAGGGGCATCTAATACAAGTTTAACAGATGAAAACGGTCAAGACAAAGACAAGACAAAGCGTACAACAACAACGCGACAGGGAAAGCCCTTTATTGAGTAACAAGGCACTACTAAGAGTGCTTTACACCCATACACTGTCTTTAAGCTATCAGACAGTACGGAGCTCTCCAGAACCTCAAATTTCATTGGTACGTCCATGGCACATACCTCTATTGTTTTAGAGCTACATGTAGGGCCTATTGTTAGTTCTGTTTGTTTTCTCTACCAATGCTGTGAGGCCTTGTAAGAGCTGAGTACTGCCCTTAGGCCATCACTGTATTACAACTTATTAAGGGCTTCTAATAAAACTTGTGATAATTAAAATTGTATTTTACAATAACTAAGTGAATTTTCCTGCGCTGATTGGCCGAGGGCTATGGTCGATAAGATTAATTACAGACTAAGGAAATGACGAGATGGTGGCACAATTTGTTTTTCCCTTTATTGCATGTGATTTTGTCAGAAACTTTAACGTAAATGGACGTTAAAAACTGTCAATACTTTTCTAAAAAACACAAACCAATTTAAATACCCTTTTTCAAAAAAACAGAATTGCCATAGCTTTTATGTCAAGAGGTGACTATCATTATTTTATGTAATGGCTTTAAAACAAATAAATAATCTTCCCTCTTAAAAATAATGTAAATAAAAAAACAAACTTTGATTACAGTCAAACTGCCCAGTGCATGAACATCCCAGTATGATAAAATAAGTCACCCACACAATATACCTTTTTCGCCCTAGTATTAACAAGAAAAAAGTAACACAGTTCATCTACTCTCCATGTGCGATTAACTCTCAGCTTTTACCTCCCATAAGCGACAATAATATTAACCTATCCAAACATAAAAAACAACTTTTCCCAGTTAAATATTTGCACCCTGTGGCTAGAAACTCTTTGTAAGTAACCAAATCCTATAATTAATAAACAACCACTAAATCTTTGCATTTGGGGTGGTTACTTTTAAGAGGCTTGCTGAATTCAAAATTCACAATTTTTGCATAAAATTATTGCTTACTACACAAGTTTAGGTACATACCAATTCAATATATTTTTTTAGTGAGGAAAACTTGAATCCTTTACCCAAGGGTGACCAACACCAAGTTTCTCTCAACAATATCAATACAAAACCCAGAGAAATTGAAATGAGAATTACTAAAATGATTACCTAAGGGAAAATGCTTTGATTGCTTATCACACTCTTTTAACAAATTTTATGGAGATCCATCTGGAGAATTTGTATTTTTCTTGTTGTTTTATAGTGGACATTGGGAACAGAGGCTACTGATACATTGTATTATGCTATGGTAACATTTCACATTAAAATATTGAACTCAACTGAATTTAATTGCACAACCCACAAGAAATCTTTTCAAAAGGCATGATTTGGACAAAATAAGAAATGTAAATGTAATTTATGGTTAATGTGCTTTAGAAATACTATCTAGAACCTCGGAAATTTCCAATGCTTTTGTGAGTTGAACATTAATATGCATTCTAAGCAAAATAGTCTCAAGAAAAATTGCATACCGTACTTCCTCAAATAATCGCCGTCCTCGATTAATCACCTCCCTTAAATAATCACCCCCCTTGACGGAATTATATTAAAAATAATCACCTCCCTTGAATAATTGCCCCTTCCCCAACCCCTCTTGCCATCTTCTCTTCCTTTGATCCCCTCCCTGCCAAGTTAAAAATTGACAAACAAAGTTGAAGTGGAGTCTGATGCAGCACAACTGACCAATCAGTGATAATTCAAACTCTGACGATGAGGATATTGACAGTGAAAATTAACCAAGGAACCAAACTGTTGTTTATTTGATGTGATTATTTTTTTGATTTAATGGAATAACAAAACAAAATATTTAGGGCATGACTTCCAGTGATAATCTCCTCCCTTGAACAATCACCCCTTTTTTTGCGAAAAAAAGAATAATCACTGCGGCTATTATTCAGGGAAATACAGTAATTTTTCAGCAGAATAGACCTTTTTGCCACATAATGTTAACATGTGCCTCCCTTTAAATACAAAAATAACATAAATAATTTATGCAAAAGTCATATACCATTTCAAATATGATAAGTGCATATTGTGTTTTAATAAATCTAATACTATCTGAGCTCTAATTTGTGGAAAGTTCTTAAAATCCAATGTATAAAGCCAGTGGTTTCTAAGAAATCATTCTATTATTTGCATATATTTGGCATAAATACCATGAGTAATAACTCGAAATTGTTATACGCAATTTCAAGAGCCATTAGGCGAGTGAAATTTGAGACAATTTTGAAATATCACAAGTGGTATTTATGCCAAATATCACGTACAAATCATGCTATTATTTTTTTATACTACTACACACAAAAGGTTTGCAATTTTCACATGTGCTCTTAGCCAATCAAATTGCAGAAATTTCTCACGTAGTAGTATAATAGGCTTCTAATGTTATTATCTCATTATGCAAGAGCCTTTAACCTAAAGCTAGCAACTCCTATTCTAGACTTATGTCACGTCTTTTTCATGGACCAGTTTATTTTATTTTAGATACAGTTTAGATTGCCTTTTTACTGTGATAATGAAATCTTCCCTTGATCAGCCTACGATAACCAAAAGTAAAACTCATTAAAAGGTGAAAATACCTTTTCTTAAGGTCTGTACGTTTTGAAGACTGATGTGTGGAGTTGGAAGTCATTCTTTATTCCTGCCAAAATCGTTCTAAATATAAGCTGTTTGGTGAAATTGCTATGACACAAGTAGGACACAAAGCCCACAACTGTAAAATGGTCTACATTGAAATTACTTGCTCTGGGTTACTGGTTCCTGCATCATGTATATCACCATTTCTGGTTCCAGAAAAATAAGCCTTACTCACCATTAGGGTGGAGGGTCATTGGTAATTCTGATAGGGATGGTGGTTGCAGTGTGGGTTTGGGGTAAAAAGCCAAAATAAGAGAGCTTCAACAAAGGAGTTCTTGAGCAACGCACGTCAACTGGAAGTGGTCTGGTTGCATTCTTAGGCATTCTTAGGTTGTTATTCCCAGTTTTTTCTGGTGAATTGTCTGTGTAAGAGTAGACACACTTAGCAACAGAGCAGTCACCAAGATTCAAGTTGCCCAGTAAATTCAGCAAGTAGGTGAGGAATCAAACAGCTAAGGATTTCTTTTGGTCTTATTTTTCTTTTGTTTTCCTATGAAAGTAGCAGCGGCCACGTTCATAGTAGCCAGGGGAAATCCCCGGCCCCTGCACTTAACGACAGCCCTGTAACAATAAACATTTGGCAGCACCTGAAGGCACAGTCAAGGGAAAAAGCCTCACTTCCGGTTAACATGTGTCTCTCAAAAATGTCTTTGCTTCAGTTCCCTATTTGTTAAGGTAAGCATCACCCAATGTGGAATCTTCAGAGGGGTGATGGTGCTATTGTTGGGGGATGGGGGGGCTCAATGCAATAGGCCCTCATGATTGCCCTGGGTACCAGAGGTTTTTTCTTGCATGTTGGCTCCAGGCTGACAGATTCTTCGGTCGAAGGCTGAAGTCAAAAGCTGCAAAGTCGCAAGAAGAAACTTTTTGCTTGGTTCACTATAAAGACTTGACTGAAACTGGAAACTGTGCATGAAAAGTCTCTGGCACCCAGGGTATCCATGGTTGGAGTATAAATATTTCTTTTTTGGGGGGGAGGGGTGCAATACAATAGGCCACTTCCAACTTCCCCCGCGCCTCTGTATCAAAATGAGGTTCAGTGCTCAGCCTTTAATATGGAAATGATTTTTCATTCTCATGCAAATAAATCTTATTTTCCCAAGAAAGGCTGTGCACTTGGCCTCATTTTAAAAGCAAGGGTTTTTGGAACTCGGAGGTGGCCTATTTTGCTGCTGTGAGCCATGCTTTACATGTAACTACTTGAAGGGTTAGTTTGGTTTACCTTAAGTTTTTTTCTTACATGCAGTGTCATTGGACTTGATCGCACGGGTAAACCATAAGACAATCGCCACATTAGCAACTAAGACCACTGTAGTCAGCAGAAGACTATTAGCAAACGTGGGAGTCACATGCGACAACTCAAGGGCCTTTCGCCTCCCTAGCATGTCCAAATAAAGAGCTGTAAACTCATCTACTGTAGCAATAGCACATAGGATGTGTAAAAAGTGATGACTCTGACCACAGAAGTCAAACACGCCGGGCATAAGTCGCTCGGGTAATCTGCTACCATTTGCCAGGGCAGCAATGGCGAAGAACAAGGCCTGCCGCTTGAAATAGGGGATGGACACAGCATTGCAGTCCATGTCTGATTGGCAGTCCCACATTCGAACCCAATAGGGTGATGTGTTGATGAAGAATGAGGCCATGAACGTTCCGGTACGAATTAAAAACTTGTGTCCAATCCAGCGGTGTCTCGATGCACAGCAGGAAGACAACGATACGCACGACACGATCGTACATAAAGCCACGAAGGACGGATACGAACGGAATATTACCCAGTCTGGTTTCAGAGGTCTTGAGTAGAAGTAAAAAGCTTGGCCTGCAGAAAAGGCATACACGCTGATCGCTGCGTAATCGAAGAAGAAACAAACATGGCGTGTCTTACTTGACATGGAGTTAAACAAGTGCGCTCCTGAACTCATTAAAAACATAGCTGATGTACCGACAACGAATGAAATCATCGGATAAGCAAACGGATCTTCAAGGGGATTGTGTTCTGAAAGCACGACCATGGATCGAACCAGGACGAATGCAAATGCAACAAGGTGCGACCAGACGTTGATGGTTTCGTTGCAGCGACTGAGGGAGCTTTGTAAACATTCTTGTGCAGAGATCTCAGGTTTTCGATAACCTGTTAAAATGTACGGTTCGCGAAACTCAAATGGGACTTTGAAATTCGGAAGATTGAATTTGTCCTCGCTACGACCATAATCCTGATCAGGAGTTTTTTCTCCGGAGTAACTGTCCATTTCGAAGTTGAAGTCCTGAACTTGCGCATGCTCATTACAACGGTAAATGAAGAGTCAATATTACCGGAACTCACAATGTTCATTTGGTTTCTTTTCAAAACAAACTCGTCTTCCGGTTGAAGTTTAGAAGCAAAATAAGGGGTTAAGGAGTGCATCTATTTCTGAAAAGCTGATGTACATACCGTTTATTTTTTTGCCAGTGACGACGGTGTAATTATCATTATTAAAATAGCGAGGGAGCTGCCTGTCACTCACCAAAGGGGAAAATATGCAAATTAGTCTAAGGGCGGACTTAATTACAGTGTATTGCACTCGAAAGTTGACAACATAATCCATGAAAAACGGACTACCTAAGCCAAGTACTTGCTGAGGATCATGCAAAGAATGATTTTCAAAGAATGATTTTCTTCACCACTCACGTCAAATGACTCCAAGCCAGGGCGCCCAGCTCCAAACTGCGAAAACAGCCGCCCAAGATGCTTCGCAGAGAGACGGCTGTTTTCGCAGGCTACCCCCAAAATAGGCTTTGATAGATTGTGCTAGAATAATTTTTGGCACAAAAAAAAAGGCTGGGAGGTGGTATTGTCACATTCATGCGACCTGGGTCCACAGGAAGCGACTTAAAACGGGTGGGAGGTCTTTTTGTCACATTCATGGAACCTGGGTCCCACAGGAAGTGACCCAGGTTTGACCCATTCATCCCAGAGTCCGCGGCTCGGCTTTTACGAAAACACGTAACGGAAGACCACGTGACCAAAAGAAACAACGGGCTCAATGGGTTATCAATGGGTGTGACCCAGATCTCAACGACTGGGATAGATCACTAGCCAAGTTTCATTGAAATCGGAGAGATAGCATGTAGTACACCTGCCTGGTGCACCCATGGACTCAGGTTTAATTTTCAACGGAAGATCACGTGACCAAAAGACCAGCTCAATGGGTTCGGGCTTTCCACAAGTTGCTCGGCAACTTTTTGGCAACTTCTCCTATTTCGAGCAAATTTGATTGTTTCGAATAACTTTTTGCATTCCGGGCAATTTCTCCACTATTTTTCTACTAATTCTGAGATATCGGAGCAGCTTGTCCTTGCATCCGCTTCCTTCCCCTCGGGCAAAAGCCGGGCTGCTAGGTAAGCAGTTTTTTAAAGAAAATTCAAAATGGTGGACGAAGATTCACAAGCTACACTCGACTGATTCGAGTGACTCAGGTGAAGAAGGTCATTCAACAATTTTATTGGCTCATACCAAATTTTTCACAAGATTAATATTACATAAAATATTGATGCGTAGTCTTTACTCGTGCAGTTTTGGTTTAAATTGAGGACAAAGTTCTTTAGAAACGCTGGTTATGCCACAAAATTACTCACTGTCATTTGTTGGACAATTTGAATCAGACTAAATAAAGGAAGAGAGCAACAAAAAACACTGAAAAAAGGCTTTTGTTTTTTTTTCAGCAATGTTTGAGCAACCTTCGCGTTACAAAAAGCAACTTTTGGCTCTTTTGAGCGACTCGGTTTTGATAAACTTTTTGAGAAATTGCGGAAAACGCTTTGGAAAATTTCGAGCAACTCGACTTGGCTTAGGGGAGGGGTAGCTGGGCAGTTGCATAGCTGCTGGCCACGCGAATAAAAAGGCTCTATAATATTAGCCTAGTATTCTATTTTGGCGGATCTCCGCTGGGTCATGTACCATTTTCACCCAGACCATAATGCACCTTGTCTTTGCCCCCCAAATTTTGCATAACCATTGTTTTCGATTTCTCTTGGGACGAGTGTAATATCCAGGAGAAACTGGAAACAATGGTGATGTAAAATTTGGGCGTTAACAAGGTGTATTAATGGTCTCGGTGGAAATCTTTAATTCAGTCTACAATTTTCCTTATTAGCATACGATTTTGATAACCCGTTAAAAGACGTCGCCATATTGCAATAACGTCACGTGTCAAAACAAAATGACAAAAAATATAATTGAAAAAAAAATGTATAGGGAAAAAAACAATAGGCACGCTTGCTGCAGGGATTTGATCTGACGAAAGAATAAAGCAAAAGATTTCTTTACTATGGCCAATTCTATACCTTCTCTAAACTCGTTTGGTGTAAACTTGAAATGATATCGCGCTATTTGGCTTTTTATTGGGATGGACTGCCCAACCTTTCACTGTAGGCTTATTTGTGGCGTCAGCAAATTAAATCGCTATTTTCGGCCAGATTTGTTTGTAAAGAGTTGACGCGATTTAATTACACCAAATATACACCATAAGTGTACTGTATCTATCCCCGTTTAGGAATTATAATTAAGCCAACGGAGGAAGAGCTCTTTTTTTTTTTTCATTTATCTTGACGCTTGGTTATTCATAGCTCCGAGGTAATTCTTCTGATTCTTTACTCGTTTCACGGCCATATGTACATTTTTTAAATTAAACCTATCTGTTAAACGCTTGTTTTGATAAAGATAGTATATATTATAAAATGTACTGTAAATTAAGAAAATTGAGAAATGTGAATAAATTGTTGTTGTTGTTGTTGTTGAGTCACGACGCAGGAGAGAGACTTGATTGCGTTTACTGCGGGACCGCCAACCTCAATTTCAGCCACGCGACCAAGTTTCCTCTATACCTATCGTTTCCTGTCATTTCCTATCATTTCCTGTTCAAAAGCAAACAAACAAGAAAGAAAAAAAGGGAGGTCAGGCAGCTGATTAAGGGCTGAGTCTCACCTGGGAATCAAACTTCAGACCCCCGAAAAAAACAAAGAAGGACGCACACTAACCGAGTCGCGCTTATCCCGGTTATACGTTAGTACTTCTACCTTTTCTGGAATCCTGCCCTCTCCCTCCGCCACCCCCCACCCCCAACCCCCACCAGGCAGCTCGAGTGGTCAAGAAAGGAAAAATAAAATATATATATTTTTAATTGGACGTTTTGACGTTCGACTGACGTCATTATCAAGTCAAAAAATAAGTGTCTCTTGTTGTCTGATCTGTTGCGGAGAATAAATGCTAAATAAACAATGCTTCATTGAAAAACCTAATATAAAGTGTCAAGAATGTCAGTTCGAATAAAGAGTTTTGCACAAATTGAATCGGCCTGGGTGTTCAAGCTTGGCTTGATCTCCTTTATAAACGGGAATTTCATAAATTAGGCATTCAAACTTCGCTTATCACTTTGCAGAACGCGAAACTGGCCCTCGTTGGAGTTATCTAATTGCCCACGAGCTTTCGCAAGCCGGCTTGATAATGACTTGATAATAATCGAAACGTCGTCGTTTTCAACCTTTTTATCCTTTTATGATATAAGAAACATTTTAGCCCAGCATTTTTTATCCAAATGTCTATCGAAATCGCTTCTTATTCGTAAATAAATATTGTTTTAAGGAGATGTTCACTAAACGATTCGAAACGACGATGTTTAGCAACACAGCGTCGCAATAATTAAACAATTAATGTTGCAACAATGTTGTATTCGCTAAAAATCGTCCTTGCGAATAGTGTCAATAGCTCCAACATTAATTCAATAAATTGCTAAATTCAATTTTTTTTATATATCGAATTTGGATTTTCACTTCAGTATACACTACCAACTAAAGCAAAGGATGCATGCATGAGGTTTATAGTTTATTGATAGCATTACTTATTCAACTCATAGTCGTATGGTTAATCTTGCTGTGCAAGGAAAAAACTGTAACAAGGTTTTCTATTAACCAAGTTTAGATCTCAGCCTTACAACTAGGGCAATATTTTACAACAGCATTTAGAATAAAACACTTCCTCTAGAACGCAGCGTTTACTTAATTGAGGTGTTGATAGACTGACGAAATAGACATACACTACGTGTATACACTGATAGGGGATCCGACTTAAGTGAGAGTAAAAGTCAATAATTCGTTTGTTGTTTTTGATATTAAACGACTTGTTCAATGACTTGCATCTGTATCGCTTCCTGTGGCTGGTTATTTTCTTGTTTTCCCAAATGAAGAATTTGCAAAAATGCTCGGCGTAATCTCTTCATGCGCCAACAGTAAATAACGGGATTGCACAGGGAACCTAACATGATTAACGTTGCCGCCCAACCCGCAAAACGGTTTGAAATATGCCGTTCTAGACTTACGGAAAAACCCAATATAATGACTATTATTGCTGGCAAGTACGTTGCAGTTAATACAACAAGGATGATTCCTAGGGTTTTGGCCGCTTTGTTATTTTTCCTGATTGTTCTTATTTCTTCTACTCTTAAATGTTCAGTCTGTGTTCTTTGTTGACGCCGGGTTTCCGAGAAAATGTACAAGTATATTCCTACAATAAAAACTATGCAAATTAAACCGAAAGTGGTAAGCGTTGAGAACGATACGTTATTATAAACATTGTAAATGTCCGAAGCTCTGTTTACTGTAGCAAGAATGCTTTCTTGAATTGTCACATATATCGTAAAACCCCACGCTGAAAGCACACCGCAGATGACTCGCCGTGTTGTGACTATCTCTTGATACCTTAAGGGCTTTTTAACAGCGATGTACCTATCAATAGTTATTAACACAAGATGAGTTAAGGTCGCGAAGATGTGGCATCCAACGGATACAAAGCTTACTCTTTCCAAAGCTCCACAGAAGGTCCCCTTTTTAAATATTCGCTGCACTTCTACCGCGATTCGTATCGGCTGCCCCACCAACCCTGTCAAGAGATCCGCCCCCGCCAGGCAAGCCAAAAGGATTGTTGATTTATTTCGCAACCTTTCCCTCGTTGCTACTGCAAAGATCACCAGAGCATTCAACAGCACAGTTGGTAAAACTGAGGTGGAATTGATGCTGATTATAGTGACCAGATGGTTGTAGGTACCCTCTGTCAGCAGGAACTCGTCTCGCCAAGCCACCTCTTCCAAATAAGGACATCCCTCTGAATTATAGAATTCGATGAATGAAGAAGTATTCGCCATATTATTTTGCGTTGAGAATGTTTATAAAACTTCACATGCTTAAAGACGCGATGCAAACAAACTCAAGACAGTTT